TTAAAATTGTAATACAAAGAAGATTCTGGGGGAGTAGCACAGAAATACACAAGCTATTATACTGCTGATTTCTTCTACTCAGCTAAAGACGCAGGTTTGGACATACTGGCAAGCTACTTGACTTTGCTGAATGCTGTCAGGACTGCCATGAAATCTTGTTCCCAGTCAAGTTAGGACTGAGACTCCACTCTCATTTTAAGAGACCGCAGTTTTATACATTGCTTAAGCACTGGCATATATTGCTGTTGCTGTAGTACAGTAACTAAATCTGTTCATGTTGATAACTCACTTTCCAAAATATGAAGGCTAGAAACAGATCTGCTTGGTTTTGCAGAGCTCCGCTTGACTAAACATCCTTCCCTTTTTATGAAGTTGCAGCAACAGGCTCACAGATGTTCAAAACAGAAAATGTGTGAATGACAGAGGTCAGGTCTATTTCAACTACTAAAATTTAATATAAAGAACTTTTTTTCACTGTGTGAATCTGAGAGCTACTGTAGTAAATACATATTTATCAAAACATTTCTGATGATTTTTTTGTTGTTATGAGATAAAATATGACACTATGTTAAGAATGTCAACAAATGTTACCAGTTTTTCACCAGCACTATCTATATTTTGACATATAAAAATATTTTCAATAGGAAGAAGGGAATGTTTAGATACCAAATACTGTTAGCATTTTCTCCCTGGAGTTCAAAGTTTGTTTTGGTTCTGTTGATAAAATTTGATGTATTCTGTGGCCTTAAGAACTCCTTTTTGTGCACACTGTTACTAAAGACTGGTCAAGTGTAGTACTTTAATAAATGAGAGAGCCCTAAGCTAGTACCAGTTGGCCATTTTAGAGGGGGAAGCAGCCTTCCTGAGTTGAGCAGGCCTACAGAAATAGCCTCGGTCCGCGTGCTAAGCAGCGGCTAGTCCACAATCCAGTTTTGAGAGAACTGTGATCTGTATGAGAAATAAGGGATGAAGGGGGGGAAACTTTGCTGCAGGCTGAAGAGGCCTTTCAAGCACATCTGCTGACAGACCACGCTATGCCACACACCACAGAGCTGTCCTGTAAGAACAAAGGGAGAAAAACCGTGTTGCGTGAGCCTTTCCTTGGGCCACTGTTTCCCTACCTGTATTGCGCTACATGGAAAGATAGTGTTTCCTTGCGGCATATAACAAGTGCACAAAAGCTATCACGGTACATAAATTTCCTGTATTCCTCTGGAAGCGACGTCTGGATCACACTTGTTCTATAGAATAGCGATATGATTAATATATCCCCATTTGACATTTTGTTGCAGAGGCTTTTAATAATTAGGATGGATAAGACGGAATCCCACTAGAAGCTGCTATAGCATGAAGAGGAGTCAGTGGTAGGACAGCTCTGGACAGACCTGAAGCAATTTTCTCGGCTCACCGCATTTCTGGCTGTAGAGTTTCTCTGTGAAAGGATAACAGGCGTCAGGAAGGCCTGCGGTGGTAACTGTGATTCAAAAGCATTGTTATTTTCTTAAATGGGTGGCTTTGGGTATCATTTTACTTACCGACTAGTTGTGATGCTCTTGCTCTTATAGCCATGCCCAGCGTTGGGGACAGTAAGATGGCGACAGACGCCTCCAGGTGGTCCACCTGGAATGACTGCCTGCATGCTTGTGGGCTCTTTCATTTTATGTGAACACTGCTGAGGTTGCAAATACCACCTGAAGCAGAGTTTCTTCAGCTGTGGTGTTACTTTACTGCTTACAGTCCTTTCTATGGCTCAAAGAGCCCTGGGGAGGAGAGGAGGGCTTTTTTGGGGCAATGGCTGTACAGTCTTCTTGCTGTATTGGGGTCGCCTCTGAGCCCGTGAGAAGGCAGCAGTAATGTGTCAGAAGCGGGGCTAATATTTGTATCACCAGTTCGAAGACGGTGGGTGATTTCTTGGAGCTGCTCCACTGACATAAAAAAAAGTTGAAAATGCCCTTTATGTTTGGAAGATCTGGTGGTATTGGATACTGTTAATGAGTAAGCTGCTAGGGAGCTTCAGGGGAATGTGGGAGAGGAAACTGGGAGGTTGATAGAACATAAGGGGCAGGTTTGCTGCACTATTGTTAAGAGCGTAACCGTATTTGATTTGATTTGAAAATACAAGCTTTAAAAATAAAGTATGCTGACTTCAGTGACATGGAAGCGTGCTTCAACGTAAGTACATTTGCTGTTGCTGTGTGCCTTTTTTAATGCAGGTCTGTAATTGCTGCCAGTGGAAATCTCTGCAGAGACGTAGCAACTAATGTTTGGTACTTACTACCTCTCCAAAGTACCTGTTGGTTTTGTCAGGCATCTGTGTAGAAATTGCTGTCTGTGTTGCGCCCTTTGAGGGAAGCGTTCAGAGTCTTCCTCTCCCGTGTGTGAGAAAATGTACAGGCCACAGAAAAGTGTGGGGGGGGTCAGGTTGGCTCTCCCTTCTCTGGGGTGCGTGAGCAGTTACTCAAATAAAAAAATGTAATTTTTTACTGTGATGTTACAGGGGAAAAAAACCACATTAGTCCTTTGTGGGAATATTAAGGAGTTCGTCAGATGTCTGGGAGATCATCCTGAACTTTGTACAGGTTACCATAAGAAAATCATCCTAAAATTACAGAATTTGAGTGTATAGGATTGTAAATTTGTTTTACCATGCTTGTCTTGTTTTTTAAAGGGCTGGAGCCTGGCAGCCACAGCAGCAGCAATCCTTTTCAGGAGGGTTTTGACACAACTTCTCTGCGGTGGGAAGGTTTTTGAAATAGTGTAATCAAATGTGTGTTTTATGACAACAGTGCTCTTGGATGATTTTAACTTAATTGGGATGAGATTTTATGCTGAGTGTATTCTGTGCAAGTCAGAGCATTCAGCTTTCTTCCGTTGTTAAGCAAAAAATGCAGCCTGGTCTGCAGCTGGTAGAGATAATGTCTCCAATGAACGGAATAAATGGTCTTTGTAAAAGTTTTTCAGTTAAATGGAATACATAATAGAAATTATTCTGAAGCAAATCAGTAGTATCAGTTAAGTGGTACGGTTCTACCTCAGTATTGAATAAAATTATTAAAAACCCCCCCCCCCAAAAAAAAAAAACCAACCCCAAAACCCCAAACACCAACCCCCCCCAAACCACTTTGTCACTTGTCTGGCAGACCAGGAAGAAAAATTAACTGAAACAATTTCTTGTCTCTATAAGGTATCATCTTAGAAAATCAGTACAGGTATTATTATAATAGAACAAGACTGTATGTAATGATTTTCTAGTTTAAAAAGCGGGTGGCTTTGCTTTGCTTCATATGCAAAGAACTATGAGAGACCATATATTCAATGTCACCATTATTTTGTGATACATCTAATTACAGTAGTCTTGGGTAGTCTACAATTTTGAAAACAGTATAAAATGCTGTAAGGCTAAAGTAGAGGAAACGGAACACCTCTATAAACAAAAAGGTGAGCAGTGTTAAAACGAGTAAATGTGAATTCAGAGTTTTAAATGTTCAGCTAAATATTAAAGCTAAGAGTTCAGGGCTGAAATTAACAACAGATTTTGAGCTAGGTTCAGTGTTTCCAATGTAATTCTCTGTTTCTGAAAAGGCATGTTTATGCTCTGGCAGTTTTCCTAATGAATGTGTACTCACAGGAATCTCATCCCTGATGAGATGTAAGGTACCAGAGAGAATTTTCGGGGATGTAGCGTGCTGGTATCTCATTCAGTATGGAACGTTTAAACAAATAACATAGCTGGCCGCCTTCATACTTCTCTTTGGACAGAGTATGCACTTCAGACTGAAGGCCATTCGACTCCCACAGCAGCTGTGTCACTTTTTAATGGCTGTTAGCCAGTTAAATTATTACAGACTAACAAACACTTGATGGAAGTACCGATATAAGCTCTTAATTTCCTATTTAGAAGAGCACTGTTTGTTTCAACCACCCTGATGTGACTCAGACTCCAGGTTTTGTTTTGGTTTTTTTGAAGTGTAATTTTACTTTCTGCTCCCATAGCCTCTCTCTCGTCTCAAACAACCCGGCCTCCTTTTACTTTGCAGTAGGCTCACATACTTTCTCTACTTACGCTGCAAATTGAAGCATTTCTTTATAAATACATAGGACATCAAAGTCAGAGGTGAACAAATCTGTCTCGGTGGGTTTATTTCCATTATTAAAAGATACGTGCTTATACGTCATTACATGTTGAGTGCTGTGCTTGAGCCAGTGAAGATTTACACGCTGTTTGGACGGTGTGTATAGCTTGTGGGCCAATTTGCCTGCTTTCTTGCTTGAAGTTTGTACTCACAGATTTTCTGATTACAATTTCATAATAAAATCAGGTAGAAGAACTAACTGATTTTAACCCCCCCCCCCCCCTCCCCCCCCAATTTGATAAAATGCTTTTTCCACACTGCCTTAAAGCTAAATGTAATCTAAGACTTCAGTATGGATTTTATGAAATGAAAACATCCACTCTGCTAGTCATGTTGCAGATGAATGTTTCTGAGTGTTTTAGTGTTACTAGTGTTTTTCGTATGGACTCGGGTTATTTTTGATGCATTGAAAATGGAGCTTGCATTTGTGAAGTGTCTCGTTTGTCTTCTGCCAGCAGAAAGCAGTCGAGGTCCTTGTGAATTATTTAATTTTGCAAAGATGTATAATAACCTTAAATGAAATAGGCAATTTAAGCAATGAATGTCTTTCTACATGCCTCTTAACATAATTAAGGATACTCCTTTTTTTCATCTCTTTTTTTTTTTTTCCCTATTTTCTCGGAGATATTGATTGTAATGTTAACAACGTAGAAAGAACTGCAGGGACTGTTCTCTGTGGATGCGATGCATGCCTGGTCTTTGTCTGGGCACATTTGCTGCATGGGAGTTGATTTTTTGTCATCAGTTTTTGTATTGTACACGCAAGTCTCATAGGTCG